CATGTTGACTCTTCCCCAACAAATTATGTTAATCTATGTGTCTGAAAATTTTGTTTTTTACTAGTTTCAACCAGTTTGCCTAGTACCAAAGTTAGACTTACTGGCCTGTAATTGCGAGGATCACCTCTGGAGCCCTGTTTAAAAATTGGCCTCACATTAGCTATCCTCCAGTCATTTGGTACAAAACCTGGTTTAAATGATAGATTAGAGACTACAGTTAGTAGTTCTGCAATTTCACATTTGAGTTCCTTCAAAACTCTTGGGTGAATACCATCTGGTCCTGGTTATTTATTACTGTTTAGTTTATCAATTTGTTCAAAAACCTCCTCTAATGACACCTCAATCTGGGACAGTTACTCAGATTTGTCACCTAAAAAGAATAGCTCAGGTTTGGGAATCTCCCTCACATCCTCAGCCGTGAAGACCTATGCAAAAAATTCATTTTGTTTCTCCGCAATGGCCTTATCGCCCTTGAGTGCTCCTTTAGCATCTCGATCTTCCAGTGGCCCCATTGGTTGTTTAGCAGGCTTCCTGTTTCTGATGTACTAGCAAAAATTTTTGCTATTACTTTTTGAGTCTTTGGCTAGCTGTTCTTCAAATTCTTTTTTGGCCTTCCTAATTATATTTTCACACTTCACTTGACAGACTTTATACTCCTTTCTATTTTCCTCACTAGGATTTAACTTCCACTGTTTAAAGGATGCCTTTTTGCCTCTCACTGCTTCTTTTACTTTGTTGTTTAGCCATGGTGGCCCTTTTTTGGTTCTCTTACTATGTTTTTTAATTTGGGGTATGTATTTAAGTTGAGCCTCTATTATGGTGTCTTTAAAAAGTTTCCATGCAGCTTGCAGAAATTTCACTTTTTGCGCTGTACCTTTTAATTTCTGTTTAACTAACTTCCTCATTTTTGTGTAGTCCACCTTTCTGAAATTAAATACTATAGTGTTGGGCTGCTGTGGAGTTTTCCCCACCAAAGGGATGTTAAACTTAATTATATTATGGTCACCAAGCGGTCCACCTATAGTCACCTCTTGGACCAGATTCTGTACTCCATTTAGGAATAAATCAAGAATTGCCTCTCCTCTGGTGGGTTCCAGGACTAGATGCTCCAAGAAGCAATAATTTAAGTTGTCAAGAAACTTTATCTCTGTATCCTGTCCTGAGGTGACATGTATCCAGTCAATATTGGGATAAATGAAATCCTCCATTAGTACTGAGTTTTTTATTTTAAAAGCCTCTCTAATCTCCTTGAGCATTTCACAGTCACTATCACCATCCTGGTCAGGTGGTCGGTAATATATCCCTACTGCTATATTTGTATTATCAGAGCATGGAATTACTATCCATAGAGATTCTACAGTACAGTTTGGTTCATTTAAGATTTTTACTTCATTTGATTCTATGCTTTCTTTCACATATAGTGCCACTCCCCCACCAACACGACCTGTTCTGTCCTTGCGATATATTTTGTACTCTGGTATTACTGTGTTCCCTTGATTAGCCTCATTCCACCAAGTTTCTGTGATGCCTATTATATCAATATCCTCATTTAATATGAAGCACTCTAGTTCACCCATCTTATTATTTAGACCTCTAGCATTTGTATATAAGCACTTTAAAAACTTGGCACTTTTTAGCTGTCTGCCATTACATGATGTAATTAAATGGGACTCTTTCATTGGACTGTTTCTCATCAGATCCTACATGTATTTTATCTTCCATCCTCTCCTCCTTACTAGGACATAGAGAATCTCCATTAATCGATCCTCCCCTAAGGGATGTCTCTGTCCGAACCACGTGCTCCTCTGCACCTGTTGGCTTTCCCCCAGCCCTTAGTTTAAAAACTGCTCTATGACCTTTTTAATTTTAAGTGCCAGCAATCTGGTTCCAGTTTGGTTTAGGTGGAGCCCATCCTTCCTGCATAGGCTCCCCCTTTCCCAAAAGTTTCCCCAGTTCCTAATAAATCAAAACCCCTCCTTCCTACAACATGGTCTCATCCATGCATTGAGACCCTGCAGTTCTGCCCGTCTACCTGGCCCTGCGTGTGGAACTGGAAGCATTTCAGAGAATGCGACCATGGAGGTCTTGGACTTCAATCTCTTACCTAGCAGCCTAAATTTGGCCTCCAGGACCTCTTTCCTATCCTTCCCTATGTCATTGGTACCTACATGTACCACGACCACCGGCTCCTCCCCAGCACTACACATAAGTCTATCTAGATGTCTCGAGAGATCCACAACTTTCGCACCAGGCAGGCAAGTCACCATGCGGTTCTCCCGGTCATCGCATACCCAGCTATCTATGTTTCTAATGATCGAAACGTCTATTACTAATACCTGTCTCTTCCTAATAACTGCAGTTCCCGCCCCCGGAGAGATATCCTCAGTGTGAGGATACCACAACATCATCTGGAAGGAGAGTCCCAACAATGTGATAATTTCCCTCTGCTCCAGTTGGATGTTCACCTTCCCTGAGACTTTCATCCTCCTCAACAACACAGAGACTGTCAGACCGGGAGTGGGACCATTCTACTGTGTCCTGGAAAGTCTCATCTATGTACCTCTCTGTCTCCCTTAGCCCTGCCCCCTGGTTAAGGGTTGATGGGTGCTAAAGGGCTTAGGGATCAAAGCCTCATTAAGAAGCTCTCAGTCTTGCCTAGCAGGCCGCAAGGCTCAGCACACGGTCCCCCAAACAAACAAACAGACCACACGGTATATTTCAGTCAAGCAGCAAGCACACCACAAACAAAAACACACACACTACAGACAACAAACTTACTCCAAGGGTCACATAATCACTCCTCCTTCACCTGGAGAACTCCCTCACAAAACTCCCCTTGTTAGCTGCTCCTGTTCACTAGCCAATTATGCAGATTCATTCATTCTGGCTAAAACTGGGCTGACAGCTGGAGTTACAGTGTTTCACATGCTTTATAGTTAAGAAATAACTGTGCAGTGATTATGCAAATGAGACATAATCACTCAGGGAAATACATCATTTGGAAAAACCTGTACACTTACACATCAGTAACTATATAGCATCTTGGCATTTTGACTGGTTGAGAAAACTATGTCAGTGTAATGGCTGGTACACTTAAAAGAAATGAAATATTTCCTCATAGGCAATGTTCCCTCTAATTTTTTCCATCCATGTGCAGAATGAATTTTGTTATGTGTAGCACTAATATGGAGGTAATGTGCAGATGTGCGCCACCAATACAAACAAACTCTGGAAATTTCCACCACATGCGTCTGACGAAGTGGTTATTCACCCACGAAAGCTTATGCTCCAATATGTCTGTTAGTCTATAAGGTGCCACAGGACTCTTTGTCGCTTTTTAAATAAACTAGATGTATCACACCAAAATGTGGCATACTGAAAACAACTATATAAATAAAACAAAGTCATGGCCATTAAGTGAAAGTATAAAAAATATGCACCAGAGGCCCAATATAACAACCTACTCCACTAGACCACTAAATCTTCAGGGAAAGCTGCTCTCAAAAAATAAGCATCTCCCAAAACACTAGCATGTTACGGACTTTTGCAGGTCACAAAACTATCCCTCTTGCGCATATTATCTGCACACATAGCTCACTCAGCTTTAAGATGCTAAACAAATCTATGAGTCAACTAGAAATAGTCATGCTCTCATCACAAACATTAATACAATATTTTCTAATACCGGAAAGGAGAGTAAAAGGCATTCACTCAGGCTTATACAATTTCTCTGGCATATCAACTCTTTGATTTGATTAATACTTCACACCCATAGAACAGTAAAAATAAGTAATAAAACAACACAGACAACAAACAAAACCACAGACAAACAAGTGACAACACTGAAAAAGGAAGGGAAGTAAAACATCAGGTGGTTGGTTATGGGTATTTTAAATTAGAGTTTAGGACCAACGCTGTGCAAGTGCAAGAGTCCTGTAGAAACAGGCAAAGTTCTCCTGGTTTCACATTGTGTGTCACCAATGAGTAGGCTCATTAAGTTTTTACAAGCCCCGGAGCACATTAACACATGGCTTTGGAGTTTGCAGATACCTGCTTCAAAAAGCTTGCAAATAAAGTCTTGATCCTACAAAACACCTAGCACCACACCTAGTGCTTGCTACTTATGAGTCAATGAGAGTACTCTGAAGAGACAGAACTATACCAAATAGCAAAGATCTGGCCTCCAACGATCTGGTTTCCAATACCTCTCCACAAACAAATTCTAAAACTTAATGGAAATCACTTGTCTGGACAAGTGATTTCCATTAAAGTTTTAGAATTTGTTTGGGGAGAGCAGTCTCTGCCCTGCCACCGCAGCCACCGAGCTGGGGCTGGGAAAAAGGGCCATCTCTCTGTGGCCACCACAGCCCTGCACGCTCCAAACTCCCCCCACCTCACCCCACTGCCCCCCCTATCTATCTCCCTATTCCCCGCAAGGCCATCACCTCACCTTACATGTGCGCCCTCTCCAGGGTCCAGGCACCTAATTAGTGGCACCACACCTGAGCGGCGCCACTAATTAGGTGCGCATCCCTTGATGCCCTCTTGTGTGGCCACCCAGTGTGTTCCCACCTTAGAGGGAACATAGCTCACAGGACCCTTGATCCTCTATATTGTAGCTGGATTTTAAAAGAATTAGATAATTTTATAATCAATAACGTATAGTGATGTGCCAAATAGAGCTAATCATCCTAGCTCTTGCTTTCACAGGTGTCAGGGAGGAATCTCCCACCAGTGTCCAGCCTGGTTCAAATATCCACATACTTTATGAAAATTCCTTAATTCTCCATGTCTCATTATCAAGCACCATAAGTGACAAATATAGTCGAAGTACAGAAGTCTCCCTACAGATTCTTGAAAGTGTTTCAGAAATAATTGTCTTAGCACACAGCTGTGGGAACACCTAAAGTGGAAGATGGTTCACCTTCATCTTTATGGCCAGGAATGACAGACTGCTTCTCTCAAACTCAAGTATCATTTTCACTGGACTATATACCCACCTCTCCCAGAACAAACTCCAAGTCGCTGAACTGCCTGTTTTCCCACAGTCTTCCATAATCTTCATGTAAAGTGCATTTTGGGTAACAAGAAAACTGAAATAAAAAAGATTTTAAACCTGTTATAGTTTATTTCAGTTTATCATGGGGGCACGCCAACAGCACCATGGCTAAGGTTGCCACTGGATTTCCACGTTGATGACATCTTAACTACAGCTCCAAAAACAAACTACAGAATGCCCTGATCAATCATATACACCAATGTATCCTCCTGCACGGTAGTGACTTTGTGAAGGAGGGAGTGGGTGGGGATCTGTTGTAGGAGGCAGGAAAGATATGCTCCCAAAACCCACAGGCTTCAAAATTTCAGTGCCAGGAGTATCACCTGTTTTCAGAACCTCTTTGCAGGGAACATAGATAGTGTTAGTGCCAGTAATCAGTGCCAGTAACCACTTTGGTGCAGAACACTTCTGGAAATGTCACGACTTTAAAAATCCCAAGAATGAGGGGTTTTTATAGTAACAAGATGCCGCTCTGCCAACTTGTGCATGCAGATTCCTAGATATACAACATACACATGCTTTTTCTGCCAGGAGGGACCACAATATATCACATACATACTCACACAGAAGAGAGTAACAGTGAGGGAACTGGCTACCTTCTGGGGCTTGCTGGCATGACGGGTAATACCAGGGAACACCAGAAGACAACAGCGAAGCTGGGAGGGCCATGCTCCAGAATGGGGAGGCTTCTCTATAGCCCCCTGCAGCCGTGGTGCTGCCGGCCTGCCTTCCTCCATGCTCCCTGTTGTGGCTTTAGTTTTAACCCTACCATGTAGGTGGCTGTGGGGGGGTCTAGGAGCATGCTCTGTGCAGTTGGCAAGTAGGAATTCCATGGGGATGGAGCACGCTCAGCAGCTGGGCCGAAGCATGCATAATGCACAGGGATGATCAGTGGGGTCAGACTATGCTTAATATAGGTGGAATGGTTTGGAGATTTTAGCAACAAACCTCTAACAAAGCTGAGCATGTGAAAATAGTAATCTTTAGAGGCTTATAACCCAGCCAAACCATCCCCCTGCCAAATTTCAAGTGCCTGCTCCAAAGCATGGAGGTGCTAGAGATCCTAGAAGAAACGGTTATAAAAAATGTTTAACATTGAAAAAGTGTTTGAACTGCTTTTGCTGAAACTTTTTTTAAAAAAAAAAAACAGCCTGAGGCAGAGACTAAGCATAGAAAATTTCAGCCTAAAAAGTTAAAGTTTAGGAACAATTAAGCAACTGAAAACAAGGGCTTATAATGGAAAATAGTAGGCATCCTTAACTGTAGGCATTGCTGCCTGCTCCATAACCCCACGAATCAGGTTAACAAATTACCTGGAATCTGTACATTTCTCCACTTCTAATGTTATTGTCCACTGTCCCACCAAAGATGTACATGGCATCTGAGATGACAGCTGCAGCATGGAAGAGTCTCCCACTTGGCAGCTGGGAAAACAAGCACAAAAAAGCTGAGGACTATTTAAGAGGTACCTTTTCAAACAAGAATTTGTCTGGGAAAAAGCAAAAATGAGAAAGGAAAAACAATATAATGTAAATGAATTAGCAACAAATGGCAGGCCCATCTGACAGATTCTAGGATTGCCTTGTTACTCTACAGCCTCCCTTCCTGCCACTTTTAATGACACCCCTTTTGTTAAACTTTTTAAATTATTAGTATTCTACATATGCAGGGATGTGTGTATTCTGTAGGTAAGAATGTTCTGCAGAATACTCCTGTTGCCAAAGAACTGAGCCTCAGAGCTAAGTTTCATTTTAAAAAACAAAGTACATTTCTATCCCTTATAGATACAGATAACTCTTCCAAATGTGAACAAAATATGAACTGTTTATTCTGCAAACTGACAGCTTGAAATAAAGGTGTAAATCAGTGGCTCAAACTTTTTTACTGGTGACCCCTTTCACATAGCAAGTCTCTGAGTGCGACCCCCCCTTATAAATTAAAAACACTTTTTTATATATTTAACACCATTATAAATACTGGAGGCAAAGCGAGGTTTGGGATGGAGGTTGACAGCTCATGACCCCCCATGTAATAACCTTGTGACCCCCTGTGGGGTCCCAACCCCCAGTTTGGTGTAAACTGACCTGTTTATGTCAGTGGGTGTTAACTCTGAACCCTAATTGTGACAATTTAAATGCAAACACTAACTCTCTCAAGTTGGTCATTGTAGCAGAATCATTCCACTAATGTGCCTGATCAAGCGATGCTGGACGCAGAGATGGATACTGTAAATAGGAGACAGTGGAGCAGCTGGTTGCTGTGAAGGAGAGTGATGGGGGAAGAAGCCCACCTTCCCCCTTCTCCAAAATGTCCAAGAGAATGACTGTGTTCAAGAGAATGTATCTATCCCTCACTGACTATTGGTCAAATCACATCCTATAGCTCCTGGGTTTCAACAACATCTGGCTGCCCCCCAAACTTCTATAATTCATAGGCTCTATGGACAGAAGGGATCACTATGGTCATCTAGTGAGTCTGATCTTCTGTATAGCAAAAGCTACAGAATTACATCCAGAGATTCCTGAATTAAGCCCAGAACTTCTGGTTGAGCTAAAATGTAGCACTGTGAAACAGACATCCAATTTAAAACTCTGAGTGATGGAGAACTTGCCACATCCCTCGGTAATTTGGTCCAACGATTAATTCCCCTCACTTTTAAACATTTGCTTCTTGTTTCCAGTTTCAACTAATCTAACTTCAGCTTCTAGACACCAGATCTTGTTATGTTTGTTAGATTAAAAAGCCCTCTGCCATCAGAAATCTTCTCATGTAGATACTGACAGACTGTGATCAAGTCACCTCTTAGCCTTCTCTTTGATAAACTTAATAGATTGAATTTCTTAAGTCTCTCACTGTAGGTAGGTTTTCCAAACCTCAAATTATATTTGTAGCTCTTTTCTCATCGCTTTCCAATTTCTCAACTTCCTTTTTGAAGTGCAGACACCAGAACTGGACACGGTACGCCAGTAATGGCATCATTAATGCTGAGTAAATGAATACCAAAGATAGTTCTACCTCCTCACTCCCGCTCGATATTCCCCTACACATACATCAAAGAACTGAATGAGTCCTTTTGCCACAGCACTGTACTGAGAACTCATGTTCAGCTGGTTATTCACCATGATCCTTAAATCTTTTTAAGAGTAATTGCTTTTGAAGATACTGTCTCTCATCCTATAATTGTGACTTACATTCTTTCTTCCTAGACATACAATCTTGCATTGGGATGAATTAAAAAAGTATGTTGATTGTTTATTGCCTGCTTACCAAGTGTTCCAGATCACTCTGTATATATGACCTATCCTCAACATTATTTATCACTCCACTAAACACTGTTTTCTGCAAACTTTGCAAGCAGTGATTTTAAATTTTCTTCCAGATCACTGATGAAGATCTATGAAACATACTGATAAAGCTAATTGAATAACACTGGTCCAAGACAAATTCTTGTTGGATCCTATTTGAAACACCCTCAATGAACAGATGAGGATTCTCCATTAACAATTTTGAGAACTATCTACAAACCAGTTTTTAATCCATTTAACATCTGTTATATTAAGTTTACATGGTACTCTTATTTTTCAATCAGTATGTCATGTGGAATTAAGTCAAACATCGTACAGAAGTCCACACACTTACCTTTATCAATCAAACTGTATATGTTATCAAAAGATACCAAGCTTGTTTGACAAGACCCATTTTTCAGGAAACCCTGTTGATTGACACTATTTAGGTTCCCATCCTTTACTGACTGACTCCTGTGTCAGCCGTTTCATTATGTTGTCTGGGAGCGAAGTCAGGCTAACTAGCATATAGTTACCCAGGTCATCACATTCACTCTTTTCAAATATAGGCACATTAGCTCCCCGCCCCCCCCCCAGTTCTAGAACTTCCCCAGTATTGCAAGATTTATTGCTCAAAGTAAAGACTGATGCAGTAGCAATCTCACTTATAAGTTGTTTTCTCTTAATTCTCTAGTTTAATTCCTTCCTGCATTGCCAGGTAACAAGGCTAATACCTTGAACAATCAATAGCTTTGTGTCCATTAGGGGCCAATGCCCAGATCCTCAGCCAATTTACACCAGGTCCCATTGGACCTCTTTCAATAACTGGGCCTACAAATTTACCTTAATTGTGAGCTCAATTGAGAGAATTGAATGAAAGTTCATAAAATGTTACAGTAGCCTATAACAACAAATGATAATGGCAAAAGGGGCAAAAGAGAGACAGTAAGACAGAATTAGTCCAAACAAAAAGAACAGGAGTACTTGTGGCACCTTAGAGACTAACAAATTAATAAATTTGTTAGTCTCTAAGGTGCCACAAGTACTCCTGTTCTTTTTGCGGATACAGACTAACACGGCTGCTACTCTGAATCCAAACAAAAAGGCCTCCTGATATAATTCAAGGACTGAGTTAAGAACGTACCTGGTAAACAAGAGATGTTTGGAACCAAAAATCAATGGACCAAAATTGGTGTGTTGGAAATTAGGCCTAAATGATAAACAAAATAATAAGGGGATGGGCTATTCCACTCATCACTCCCTTTCGAGGTCCTTAAAAGAGAAGACTTTTGGGAGGAAAGGGGGGCTGTCTAACAACTGTTGACTGAGAGATGGGAGGATAGGAAAGGTGTGAGTGCCATCATCATGGGTGTCACCCCCACTATCGCCTGGGACCTCAGGTTCCACTGTGACACTGTTGGGCCTTCATCATCCTACTTCTGAGAGATGTCCTAACCAGGCCGGGCCAGAAATTGGGAACCAGATGACATCACCACCTCCACCAGCTCCAGTTAAATCCCGAACGCCATTTGGGATGTGCGACCTTCTCAACACCACCTCTTGTGTGTCCTTTTCCTTCCCCACCTTATTTCTTCTCGTCCCTATCCTTGTCCTTCTGCCTAATGAGGTTGTATACTCTGCAGCACTGCTGTAAGCCTGTGACCAGAAAGAAGCAGATAAGCAATGCCCTAAACAGCCTGATGCTGGTACAAGTTGCCAGGTCTTGGAGTGTCCGATCAGACTGTGTACTGGACCTCTGTTTCTCCAGCACTGAGGTTGTAAATGTGAGTCAACCCCAGAGAGAGAAGCTGCATTTTCTATCTTTCTTGTTCTTTTCTCTCCCCTTTTGTGTGTGTTTGTCTTGTTTTGTCTTCAAGGAAAATGGGATCAGACTTTAAAAACAACAACACCTCCAGCCCATCTCAATTAACTTTTCTCTTCCCCCCAAAAAAGAACATTTATTGTCATCTTGTCCTTCTAAAGACTCTGCAGCGAAAGGGAATAAGGGATATTGATAAAATAAACGCCTTGCTGACATAGCCCTGTTTGTTACAGAATTAAGAAAAACTTCACTGAATTAGGTTTAATACCTTTGGGGTACATCGGATTAAAAATGCAATTGTGCTATGTGTTACTGTGAGATTGCATGTAATGCCTCTAGGGGGAGACAGATGCTAATGTAATTCTTCTGGTTATCAACTTTTTGAAGCTACCCTCAGGAGAGGTTTGCATATACTAGTTCAAACTGAATTCTCCTGGGACAAACGGACAAAGAAAGGAATGTGGATCAACAGCCTGATATTAAAGAGGCTCAAAGCATTCTTCCTGATCTAGGAAATGGGCAGGACCTCTGGTCCACACAAAGCCCCAATCCTTAGGGAACGGTTGGAAGGAGTGTTAGGAAAATGTAATGTAAATAGGGTAAAGAGTAAACAATAATAATCTTGCTTCTGGCCTTGCTTTTAATTTAAACAGGCTGAATAAGCAAGCAAAAAAAATGTATGTAAAAGCACAAGGCTGCACCACCACCACCACCATCCCCTCTCCCCCCCATTCACCCGCAAGCTAATAGCCTTGCCTTTCAGTAACAAAAGTAGATAAGGGGACCAAATCAAGCAAGGGTTGCTATGGTAACCAAGCGGCTGGAAGGTGTAAGAAAAACACAAAGTCTGCAAAAAAGTAACCATGGCCACAAGTAACTCCGCTCCTTACCCCTCCCACCAGGTACAAAAGAGGTGGTCTTAACCCCAAACCCAAGACCCAAGAAGAAGTGGGACCGCTAAGAAGAAGTGGGACCGCTAAACACTGAGGATGGAGTGGAGGTTAGATATTGGGCCATGCCTAGATTATCCTTAAACAAATACTTTGCCTCAGTATTTAATGAGGCTAATGAGGAGCTTAGGGATAATGGTAGGATGTCAAATGGCAATGAGGATATGGAGGTAGATATTACCACATCCCCGGCAGAAGCCAAACTTGAACAGCTTAATGGGACTAAATCGGGGGGCCCAGATAATCTTCATCCAAGAATATTAAAGGAACTGGCACATGAAATTGCAAGCCCATTAGCAAGAATTTTTAATGAATCAGTAAACTCAGGGGTTGTACCACACGACTGGAGAATTGCTAACATAGGTCCA